TTAAAGTACTAGAAACTTGATTGTCCACACAACATAAAATATGAAGTCAGCTTGAACTTAAAAAATATATAGTTTCTTGGTTGCCAGGAGTTTAATAAATTGATCAGCTGTTTTGTTTAAAAATGGCCTTGGTGATTTGTTAAGTTGTACAGAGTGAAAAGCATTGTTAAGCTATTAAGTCTTGTTAACTTTTAGAGACTGACCTTTCTCGTCACTACTCTTGGAACATATTTACTATACTTAAAATAACTACTGTCTAATTTTTCATATAATAGTCCAAGCATGTGACACTATGAAATATCTGATAGAAATATAGTTCGAAATTAAATTATTGTTTTTATGCTTCCTGTCAGTTTTCCTAGTTTACAAGGCAACCAATTTCAGAATTGCTTCATTGAAAATTTCTTATGAGTTAACAAGGTGTCTTTCATAGTCACTAGTATGTCAAATGAATATACAAGATTAGAAGAATTGTAGGAGTGATTTAGCTTTAAAGAATGAAACTAGAAAAAATGTGTAAGTAGTTTTTAAACATTGATTCCTAATACCTGATAGTGTTTGTGGATCCTTAAAATATTTTAAATGTTTACTGGAGCAGCATTCATCTACTTTAAGCCAATAATAACAATGAGAGCTTGTGAAATCTAACCTTGAATGCTGATTTTGGTACTTGCTGGCTTAGTCTTGAAACAGAGAAGTGGGATTGAAGGGAACTGAGTACCTCTTGTATATGCTTTTAATTATATTCTCATTTCTCTCAATCTTATAAGCGTCTTATGCATTATAGCCAAAACAAGGAAACGGCCCAAATGTCCATCATCTGATGAATGAGTAAACAAAATGTGACAACCTTACGAAGGAATATTATTCTGCCGTAAAAGGAAATACTGCTTTTTACAACAACATGGATGAATCTTGAAAACATTTTATCAATCACAAAAGATCACTTATTCTGTAACTAGAGGCCCAGAGCTGTGCACTGGTAGGGTCCCTCGTGGGTGTGGGCCAGGGCTTTTATGCGTTCTGTCCCGCTCCCTGGTGGTCAGCACACGTCATAGCAAGTGATTGAACTCCCGGTCAGTCAAACTTCTGAGGGATACTTTGCATATTAGGCATATAGAGAAAGTAGATTAGTGGTTGCCAGTACCTGGGACAGGGAGATAAGGAGTGACTGCTAATAGATATGGGGCTGTTTATGGTGAAGATTGATGTGCAAGTTTTTACACATACAAAAAACCACAGAAATGTACACTTTAAATGGGTGAATTGTATGGTGTGTGAATTAAATCTCAATAAAGTTGTATGTTTAAAAAAAGAAAACACCACAAAAATTTAATTAAGTGAAATAAGTAGAGGCTCTGACAACTTTCTACTATCAGAGGTCACAAGGGAACTCTTAGCAACTCTTTTTTCTTAACTTCTTTATCCACTCTTTCCTGTATTGAATTCATTTGTTCAGCTTCTGTGTCGGAGGTTCTGTTGTAAGTGGTCAGGATGGAACAAGAAATAACATGGGCTAAATCCTGTTCTCATGTAGTTTACTTTCTGGCAGGTCAAGTTTTCTCAGATTACTGCTCTAAATTGATCCTGTAGGGGATATTCAACCACTGTGAGCAAGAGTTATAGTAGATCCCTTATCTTGCCTTACTAACCTGAGAGTACCTCAAATTTGAAAGGAAAGGATGTTCAAAGAACTAGGATTGCATCTCATTTGCTATATGATATTGGAAAAGCTTAATAGTAATGTTTTAATTTCAGTATCTAGAAAATTAAAATTCCACCATATTGGGTACTTGCTTTGATGAAGTTTTTGAGAATGCAAGGAACACACTCAGACTAGGTCAAATAAAGATGGGGCCTTAGGAAAACTAAGGAACCAATTCTCGCATTATTAACAACTAATGGGCTGAAACCTGTTTGGCTCAGTGGATAGAACATCAGCTATGGACTGAAAGGTCCCGGGTTCGATTCCGGTCAAGGGCATGTACCTTGGTTGCAGGCACATCTCCAATGGGGGTGTGAAAGACAGCTGATCAATGATTTTCCCTTATCAATGTTTCTAACTCTATCCCTCTCTCTTCCTCTCTGTAAAAAGTCAATAAAATATATTAAAAAAAACTAGTGGCCCAGTGCATGAAATTCCTGCACATTAAAAGGGAATTAAAGGAAATCTTATCTAATAAAAGAGTAATGTGCAAATTGACCATACCTCTGTTACACCACAACCCATGCCTACCAGCCATTCAGGAGTGAGTATGCAAATTAACCCTAACCAAGATGGCTGCTGCCACTGAGCGAGCAGGAGGCTTGGATTTCCCTGGCAATTGAGGAAGCCAAGCTTACTGCCCGCCCTGGCCTGCCCTAGCCTCCACTCAAGGTTACAAAGTTTCAATTGAAGATAAATAAATCCCAGATACCAGGGTATCCGCTTGGGTCATCAGGGGACGTGGCTGGCCTGCAAACCAGCACAGGCCACCCCACACAGGCCACCCTGCACCTCAAGGGAACCCTCACCCTGGTCCGGGACACCCTTCAGGGCAAACCAGCTGGCCCCCACAGTGCACCAGGCCTCTATCCTATCTAATAAAATAGTAATATGTAAATTGATTGTCACCCCAACACACAAGATGGCTGCCCCCATGTGGACACAAGATAGCCACCACAAGATGGCCTGCAGGGGAGGAACCAGACCTATAAGGGAGGGCAGTTGGGGGTGATCAAGCCTGCAGGGGAGGGAAGTTAGGTGTGATCAAGCTGGCAGAGGAGGGAATTTGGGGGTGAACGGGCTTATAGGGAAGGGCAGTTGGGGGGGACCCAGGCCGGTAGGGGAGAGCAGTTGGGGAGGACCAGGCCTGCAGGGGAGGGCAGTTAGGGGCAATCAGGCTGGCAGGGGAGCAGTTAAGCATCTATCAGGCTGTCAAGGGAGTAATTACGTTGTGATCAGGCTGGCAGGCAGAAGCAGTTAGGGGCAATCAGAAAGGCAGACAGGCAAGCCGTTGGGAGCCAACAGTCCTGGATTGTGAGAGTGATGTCCAACTGCCTGTTTAGGTCTGATCCTACCTGGACGGGCAGTTGGGCATCCCTCAAGGAGTCCCAGATTGGAGAGGGTGCAGGCTGGGCTGAGGGACATCCCCCCACCCCTCTGCACAAATTTTGTGCACCAGGCCTTTAGTATTTTAATATTGCTATTTTCCCTTTATCTATAATAGAAGTGTCAGAGATGAAAGAAAATTAGTAAAATGTATATGAAAATCTTCCTCCTGTCAGAGTCTGGGGCATGCCTCAAGACCCAGAGTCAAGTCCCCACCCATCCATACGAGCCTCAAAATTGCGTGAGACCTGGACAACCCTACCCCTATTGGGTGACATCCAGACCCGGCCAGCCCCACCCTTGTCAAGCCCCACTCGGCAGGGGGCGTGGCCTGAGGTCCCCCAGACCAGGGTGGAGGGTGCACCTTGAGGTCCCCTGTCAAGCCCCGCCAGACTTGGTGCAGCTTCAGGTTCCCCATCAAGCCCCACAGCCTCAGGTCTCCCAACCCAGCACCATGCAGCCTCAGGTCCTTGTTGATCGCTTGTTAAGGCTCCTTATGGGAACCCTGCCTCTGCTGTGTGTTGCCATGAGGGTCAATTTGCATATTACCTCTTTATTATATAAGATATTTCAGGTAAGTGATAGGAAATCATGTATCTTCTCTGTACTGCTCTGCAAGATACTAACTTAGCTACTGGTTTTTTTGTTAGTTTGTTTGTTTTTAATTATTTTATTGATTTTTTACAGAGAGGAAGGGAGAGGGAGAGTTAGAAACGTCGATGAGAGAGAAACATCGACCAGCTGCCTCTTGCACACCCCGTACTGGGGATGTGCCCGCAACCAATGTACATACCCTTGACTGGAATCAAACCTGGGACCTTTCAGTCCACAGACAGACGCTCTACCACTGAGCCAAACCGGTTTCGGCTCAGCTACTGTTTTAATTTTTCCAAATTCTGTCTTGGGCTTTATATTTGTACTAGAAGCCCAATGCACAAAGATTTCAGATAAGTTTTAAAAGTTGAACCAAAAGGATTTGCTTACAGATCTAATGTGTGGAGGATAAAAAAGAATCCAGGATGGCTCATAGATTTTTGATCTGTGCAACTGGAAGGATAGAATTGCCATATTCTGAAATTTTCTTTGAAGTAATTAATAAATCTGTAATATTGGATAGATCAAACTTTTAAACAGTAGCATAAGGCTTATAAAAATACAAAGGCTTTTAATTAAAAAAAAAAAAACTTATTCCATATATACACTATGTGAGATAAGATAGACTACATATGTTTGTTAAAGATCAAAAGTTCAGTTTTGGACATAAGTTTGAGGTACTTTTTAGACACCTAAGTATGAATTTGTGACTTACTCTTTCCACTTAATATGCAATCTTTAGAAAGAATAAGGTGAACCCATCTATAGAAAGAGCTTGAACTTGTATTGTTCTTGAATATGTGAATGTTTTATAGTGAGCATATATCCATGCGTTAGATGACTTTAAAATGAGAAGCATGTTAAAAAATATAAGAATTGTTATAGTACCTGATAGAATAATTATTGTGGTCATTGGGAAGAATGAAATTGATCTGTGTATACACCACCATGAAAGATCTCTAAAACCTACAAATGAGGTGAAGAATAATATATAATAGATAAGTGTGTCAGAATCATAATAAATCTGTTTATATTTAGAAAGAGAGACTGGATGGACTTGTGTTATAGTTTTAAAAATTTGACATATCCATTATTATAGATCTATTAATTTCAAAGAGATTGTTAATTGAGAATATGGTTGTGAACTAAAGATAGAAATTTTTCATATAATGTGTATATTATGAGTAAAATATTACAGGTACATGATTAGAAGAAAAGATAATGAGATGCACATCAGAATGTTAGTGGTGATTTTCTGTGGATGATGAAATTTGAAGTGAATTTTTTAAAATATATATTTTTTTTATTCTTGTAGACTATGAGAAGACAACGAAATGAAGTTGTAGTTGAATTAAGGAAGGTAAGTCTGATTATTATTTGGTCCTTACAAGTATCATTGTAATAACATTACAGTAGGTATAGAAGATATCAACTGTATGTAAATCTCTTGAGCTGAACATTTCTTTTTCTTTTGAAAACTGAAAGATTTTGACTAAATTTGGCAAGCTTTTGAAGTTGGCAAAATACAACTTGACCACTATCAAAAAACCAGAAACTAGTTATCAGATGGTTTTTTCCTTCTGTAATTTTTAGTGGTTTATATAAGTTATAAGTCATGAGTATACTAATAGTTATACTAAATAATTCTATTTACAATAGCAGTTACACCCTGAAAGGAACTTGTTATTTATAAATTTCATCAACTTTTCAAGTGTTAAAGTAGTTGAAAATGTATTTTTTTAATTTGTCCCAAACATTTTAAGTGAAATTCAAGTGGCCCTTGATTTTTGTAAGGCAATGTTGATTTTTGTCCAATTTTTGAACTGCCCAACTTTTGTTTTGACTTTTTTTTTTTTTAGGCGGTAAAGAGAAGCTCCCAGATGATGTATAAAATGGTTTAGTACTTTTAAATAAATATGTATGTTTGGTTCTGGCTTAAACTGTACACACTTTTTTAATCAATTTTTTTGTTCTTTACTTTGTTTTTACAAGTTCACTATTTATTAAAAACGTAATATTTGGGGTTCGGGTCTCAAATTAGAGTTGCTTAAGTGTTTAATTCACAATTTGGTTTAATTTTCTACATTTGCATTTTACTTATAAAAGGCACTTAATATTTCACTTTGTAGACACAGAATACCCTAACCTTTGTATGAAAGTATTTAGCTTTCTTTAAAGTTACTTTTTTTTTTTTTAAGAATAAAAGAGATGAACATCTCTTAAAGAGAAGGAATGTACCACATGAAGATATCTGTGAAGACTCTGATATAGATGGTGATTATAGAGTGGTAAGTTATTGTTATCCTGGTTACTTAAAACTACCAGTGAAATATTTTATATAAATATAGAATTTTAAGGTGATTTTCTAACTTAGTTTTCACTTTAACTTTTTCCCAGCAAAATACCTCTCTAGAAGCTATTGTTCAAGTAAGTTGAGTTATTATTTCCTCTCTTCATTACATTTCTTGGACTTAGCTAATTACTGTTTATGTACATCAAAACTATTTGTTTGTTTTTATAGAATGCTTCAAGTGATAACCAAGGAATTCAATTAAGTGCAGTTCAAGCTGCTAGGTAAGTTAAATTTTGAGAATATACACTCATTTAACTTTGATGGCAAATAATATAGAACCAGTCATAAACCAACTATTAATTTTCAACTTAGTCTCTGGTTTAGAATATTAAAATTGGTAGCAATGTTTTAAACTCACAAATACACTGAACTTTAGTGTACTTAATATGTACAGATGATAGGGAAAGGTTGACTTGATGGGTTATTGCTGTAGACCAATTGGAAAACATTACTTAAAAGCTTTACCTTTTGTCGAGGCCGGTTTGGCTCAGTGGTAGAGCGTCGGTCTGCGGACTGAAAGGTCCAGGGTTCGATTCCGGTCAAGGGCATGTGTCTTGGTTGCGGGCACATCCCCAGTGGGCGGTGTGCAGGAGGCAGCTGGTCGATGTTTCTCTCTCATCGACGTTTCTAGCTCTCTATCTCCCTTCCTCTCTTTAAAAAATCAATAAAATATATTTAAAAAAAAAAAAAAAAGCTTTACCTTTTACTGATTATAGGTTTAATTTAATAAAAACTTACATTGTTCAGATCCTGCCCATGTAGGTAATTCTTCTCATAGTCCTCAGACTGATCAAATAACAAATTAAGTTATAAGCTTAATGCAGCAGTATATAGGCAAGAAGACATTAAGATTTAGAACTACAAAGTCTCCTAGTCACTTTCCAGTAAGAATACTAAAATATTTCTGTTGTAAGACCTGTGCTCTCATAGTTAATAATTTGGGGAAGACGTGGTTATATCATAGTGTTTGCTTTGTATATCTATAGACATAAAAGCCTAAGTGACCGTTAAAACTGGACAACCAGCCTATAGCTGTAATGTGCACTGACCACCAGGGGGCAGACACACAACACAGGAACCCACCCCCTGGTGGTCAGTGTGCTCCCACAGCCAACTTCCCATGATCTCTCCTCAGCTAGCTAAACTCCTGCAGTCCCTCCTTCTCCCCCAACTCCCACCCCTCAATCCGCCCTGATAGGGACTAGACGAGACGACTCCCATTGGCTGGGAGGAACCTCACCCGTGCACGAATTCATTAGTAGTAGGACAGAGTTAAGCAAGAAATTGATCCTACTTTGAGAATTTTAAAGTGGAAAAGATTTCATAGGTCCATCCAATATCTTACCTTATGCATAAAACCCTTTGTAGACTTTTTCTACTTTGTAATACTTTATTTTAATTTTTATTTATTGATATTAAAGAAAGAGGAAAAGAACACACACATTGACTTGTTACACTTATTTATGTATTCATTATATGCTTCTTGTATGTGCCTTGACCAGAGATTGAACCCAAAACCTTGGCATTTAGGAACAACACGCTAACCAACTGACCTATCCAACCAGGATCTTTTATATTCACTTTAAATTACCTAGAACAGATGGCAAAATTATACAAATACAGTGTTTAGCCCACTACAGGTAACTGACTCCTTAGAGAGGACTTAGTTTTGTAGGAAGAAAATTACAGAGATTTTCACACCTCAAAACATAAAATTAATGTTTAAAGGAAGAATGATTAAGAAATTGATACATTATGCTCACCATTGTCTGAATTGATTATTTTATAGTTTTGGAGCAACTCTTCTCAATATGAGTTCTATAAGATAATTAAATCCCTATGGCAGGGATTCTCAATCTCCCTAAGAGATCCTGAGACAACTTCAAGGGGTATACAAGATCAAGCCTATTTTCACAATAATTCTAAGACCTTGTTTGCCTCTTTTCACTGTGTTAACATTTACATTGATATTGCAGGGGCAACTGAATAAAACTGCTGATAACTTAGCACAGATCAAGACTGGCATAAAATTGATTTTATGACTATTTTTCAGATATTATTTGCACTATTATGCAAAGAAAAAAGGCAGTTTCTGTTAAAGAATGTCTTCAATAAGCCCAGACAGTGAGCATCTATTCTGAACCAGTAGATCACAGTTCAATTCCCAAACAGGGCATATGCCCAGGTTGTAGGCTCAACAGTAGAGCGGCATACAGAAGGCAGCGGATCAATGACTCATCATTGATGTTTCCATTTCTCCCACTTTCCCCCTTCCTCTCTGAATATATGTGTGTGTGTGTGTGTGTGTGTTTGTTTTTTTAAGAGAATGTCTTCAATGAAGTAGAATCTGAACTAAGAATGACTGGATTATTTTCTACTTTGTGCTATGTGCCACGTGTTATGGAAAATACTGCATGTGGCATAATTTTTGCCCTATAAGAGATTGGGAGCCTAATTAGGAAGGCGAAACTAAGTGTACGTTATGTAAATATGCTTTTAGTAATTCAGAGAATTTAGAATTCAGAGAGGATATTATGAAAACATAGAACTTAAAATGGACTTTGTTTACGTAGGTTTTGAATAGACAGAAAAGGGCATTCCAAGTGCAGAAAAGAGGAAAAGCTTGGAAATGCAATAGAAGTGGTGGGACAGAGAACTGAGCTTAAGAGTTTACATTAAGTAGTCATCATTTGGTATATATTCAGAGGAATGATCTCAGTAAGCTTTCTTTAAACACTCCATTTATGTAGTAGTGCATAGTATTCAAATGGGTAAAGATTTGGGTTAGGACAAATTGAGGACTTAAATCAGCTAAACCTACAGTCTATCACATGTGTAATAGACACCAAGTTTTGTTGTTTTACCCTCTAAGCTTCATAAGAGCAAGGATGTGTCTGTCTTGTTCACCTTAGTACTCCAGTATCTCTTTGGGTATTTTTCTTGTATTGCTATACTTATTTCACTTCACTTTAGTTACTTTGATGAGAAGTTAGATTTTACATGACATTTCATTTGGTGTATGCAATAAGATGAAATATTAGACACTAATATCAGCTATAAACTTGTACCAGCAACCTACATGCTTTTGTCTTTTATCTTCTATTATGGCATGGTTTGAATACTCTGTGGTATTTTGGTGACTTTCCTTGGCAAGGTCAAGGACATGGTGAAGGAGTCTGCCGCTCTGACCTCAAAATTGCAAAGTTAGCCCTGACTAGTATGGCTCAGTGGGTAGAGAGTTGGCCTGCAGACTGAAGGGTCCCGGGTTCAATTCCAATCAGGGACATGTGCCTTGGTTGCGGGCACATTTCCAGTGGGGGGTGTGCAGGAAGCAGCTGATTGATTTTTCTCTTTCATTGATGTTTTTCAACTCTTTATCCCTTTCCCTTACTCTCTTTAAAAAAAATTAAAATATATATATATATATTCTAAAAATAAAAAAAAATTGCCAAGGTAATACTTAAAACATCTAGTTGTCATATTTAGGACTTGTGGGAATAATATTACTATACTAATAAAAGAGGTAAAGTGGTTATGCCTACCATTTTTCCTAATAATTTATATATTTATGAATTAATATTCTAATACAGAAAAGGTTGCATTATAAATTTTTAAAGTAACTTTCAGAGCAAGTATTTGTACCAGATAGTCACATTTACTGAAGTCAATATCTAATATGAACTTTAATTTTGTGTGATTAAGTTTCACGAATATGTACATCTCTTATAGGAAGCTTTTGTCCAGTGATCGAAATCCACCAATTGATGACTTAATAAAATCTGGAATATTGCCTATTTTAGTCCATTGTCTTGAAAGAGATGACAAGTAAGTACATTATTTTAACAAATAATTTAGGATGTATTCTTTACAGAAGATAAGATTTCCTAGTAATTAGGAAATTACTAATTGATCTTTAAAGAAAAGGGTTATGAGATGGAGTTGACAAGCCAACGTGAAAAACAATGCAAGGTATTTATACCAAGAGATGAAGGTAGAGGCCAAAGAAGAATTTGAGAATGATGCATACAACTTTTAAGCTTTGAAAATTGGCAAGAAATAGTTTGGCCAGAGAGGTCCTTGAGAACACTCTTTAGATTGTAATGTGTTGGTTTTGTAATAAGAAATTCTTACTAAGAAATAAAATCATGTGTTTTTTATACTGAAGGGAAATTTTAAATAGAGATTTAAAAGAAGTTCTAGATGCATAGACAACTTTTAAACAAAATATTCAATGCTTTTATAATGCTCTATAAGGGAGGAATGGTTGATTGATATTTGATACATAACAATAATTCTTTTTTAATTTGGTTTTTTTGTAGTCCTTCTTTACAGTTTGAAGCTGCATGGGCTTTGACAAATATTGCATCTGGAACCTCTGAACAAACTCAAGCAGTAGTTCAGTCCAGTAAGTTGATTTTTAATAGACAAAATAAGTAGTGACTCTACTAATAAGAATAGAGAGCGATGTTACCTAATAATAGACAAATGTGTAAATTGACCATATCTCTGCTAAGCCCACAGCCAAAGAGTGAGTATGCAAATTAACCCGCCAAAAATGGCAGTTCATTTGCATACACAGGCACCAAGCTACTGGGGGCTGCAGAAATTGTCACCATGGCGGTGACACAGTTGTTCTGCCCCACCCCTCTGTCTCCCAAGGCCTCTGTGCAGCATGGGAAGGCAGGGCTGGAGCCAAAAGAGGTGGCTCAATGGCTGGGCCAGAGTGGAAAGGTAGTGCCAGCAGCCAGGGAAAGGAAGGCCTATTCTAGCACGAATCTTGGTGCATCAGGCTTCTAGTCCTATATAATAAAAGCCCAGTATGCTAAGTGTCCTACCATTTGACTTGTCGCTATGACGAGCACTGATCACCAGGGTGCAGACACCAACCAGTAGGTTAGCTTGCTGCTGGGGTCCAGTACGGCTGATCGGGACTGGGCAGGATGGGCCAAACATGCCCTGAAGCCTTCCCATTGTCCCTCCCTAGCCCTGATCCCCACAAGCCAGGTTGAGGGACCCCACCAGTGAATGAATCTGTGCACCAGGCCTCTAATATATATTATAAAATAACTAGAGGCCCAGTGCACAAAATTGATGCATGAGGGGGGTTGGGGTGTGTCCCTCAGCCCAGCCTACACCCTCTCCAATCTGGTACCCCTCAAGGGATTGCCCATTTAGGCCTGATCCCACTGGACCTAGATCCAGGACTGCTAGCTCCCAATCATTTGCCTGCCTGATTGACCTCAACTGCTTCTGCCTGCCAGTCTGATCACCCCCTAGTCACTCCCCTGCCGGCCTGATGGATGCCTAATTGCTCCCCTGCCGGCCCAGTTGCCCCTAACTACCCTCCCCTGCAGGCCTTCCGCCCCCTCCCAGCTGCCCTTTCCTACAGGCCTGGTTGTCCCTAACTGCCCTCCCCTGCAGGCCTGGTGGCCCCTAACTGCCCTCCCCTGCAGGCCTGATCACCTACAACTGCCCTCCTTTGCAGACCTGATCCCTCTCAACTGCCCTCCTCTGCTGGCCTGGTCACCCTTAATTGCCCTCCCCTACTGGCTATCTTGTGTTTACATTGGGGCAGCCATCTTTGACCACATGGGGGTGGCCATTTTGTGTATTGGAGTTGTGGTCTATTTGCATAGTGCCTCTTTATTATATAGGATTATTATATAGGATAGCTCTTCAGTAATACTTAAGATATTTAAAGTAGACCAACTTAAGTATGTAACTTTGATGTCTTGTACCAGTAAACAATCATTTGTTCAATGCACTATTCTGTTCAGATACAAACCTTTCTATGTGTTTCCCACCCTTGTTATTAAGCAACAGAGTCAGTATCTGAATCAAAGTCTCGTGGCATAGGAATTGCTGGTCTGTCTTAAAGACTCATGTGATATAATTCATAAGTTACTTTAACAATTGGACTCTTGTTTTTTTAATTTGAAGATAATGTTAATCTATAAGGAATTAACCTTAAAATTGGAATTAAATCCAAGTTTAATTGTGAATAAAATCTTACCAGCTTAGTTTTACATTTGTCTGCATGTTAAAACTGCCCTTTTAATGCTAACTAAGCAATCTGCTGGTCAAAATTTTCCGCTGCTGCTATAACAATGAAAATCATGTAATAAAAGTATATTTTAGACAAGTTTCTTTTGAGGTTTTGGGGGGGGGGGGGGGGGGGAGATTGATTTTGGTTTAGATTATAGTATCTTCAACCATTTCCCAATTTTATTGGAAATATAATTGACGTATAACTGTTTAGACTTAACTGCTCTTATGATTTCCTTCTTCAGATGCTGTGCCACTTTTCCTGAGGCTTCTTCATTCACCCCATCAAAATGTCTGTGAGCAAGCAGTGTGGGCATTGGGAAATATCATAGGTTTGTCTTAAATATATTATAATCCAGCCATTGTTATCATATACTATGTAATGAAAATAACGTTAGTAATTGAAAAGAAAAAATAGTTGGTCTGGATCAGTACTAATTTTTATGAAATAGTTTACAGAAATTAAAGCTATTTAAGTATAAACTGATAGTAAACTAAATGAATATTTTTACTGCTTATGATGACATATTTTGGCATGTCATCATAACTAGTCAATATTTAGTTATTTGAAAATTATGAAATATGTATATAATTTAGATCTTTTTCTGCTCCTTTATTATGTTGGGGTCCATTTTCTTAGCTCTTCCCTCTGTCATAGAAAGTATGTAATAAGGAATAAGCAAAACTTAAAATTTTTTCTTCATGATATCAGTTTTAAGAAGAGATTTCAATTAAAATTTTTATACCTCTTGTACTAGGTGTACCAGTTAATGTGGATTTTTTTTTTCAATAGATGGAGTTACACATATGTTAATATATATGCATTTTGATGTGTATGCTATTTTGTTGTATTGACAACAAGCTTCAAAACTTGATATGTCAAATCTGCTGAAGGTGTTAACATATATATTTTTACGCCTAAAAATGGCAAATTTCGTGCCAAAAAGAAAGAATTTGCGGAAAGTTTTAACGCATTATTTTAAAGAAAAAAATTATTGTATATTTTGGGAAGCTTATGGTGAACATGCTCCATCTCAAAATACTTGTGAATACTGGTTTAAATGCTTTAAAATTGATGATTTCGATGTGGGAGACAAAAGAATGTCCAGGTCAACCGAAAAAGTTTGAAGACCAACAATTGCAAGTATTATTGGATGAAGATGCATGTCAAACTCAAAAACAAGTTGCAGAGAAATTAAACATTGCCCAGCAAACAATTTCTGATCATTTACAAGTAATAGGAAAGATTTTTAAAGGAAGGAAAATGGGTGCTACACCAACTGAACGAAAGACAAATGAAAAACCGAAAAGTCATCGGGAAAATGTTACTTCAATGGCATAAAAGAAAGTTTGTGGGTTTTTTTGCATGGAATTGTGACTGGCGATAAAAAGTGAGTTTATTTTGAGAATCCCAAATGCACGAAATTATGGGTTGATCCAGGTCAACCGTCTACATCTACTGCAAAGCCATATCACTTTGGAAAGAAGACAATGCTCTGCATTTGGTGAGATCAGGAAGGTATGGTGTATTATGAGCTTCTAAAACCAGGTGAAACCGTTAATACTGATCGTTACCAATAGCAAATAATCAATTTTAACCACGCTTTGATCGTAAAACAAGACTGTGCCAGAAGACACGGCAGAGTAATTTTGCTTCGTGATGATGCACCACCACACATTTCAAAATCAGTTAAAGACGCATTAAAAGATCTTGCCTGGGAAGTATTAACCCACTCGCTGTATTCACCAGACCTTGCTCCTTCAGATTACCACTTGTTCCTTTTGATGGCACATGCACTTTCTGAGCAGCACTTCAAAATGTATGAAGAAGTGAAAAATTGGGTCTCTGAATGGTTTGCCTCCCAACGTTCTATTGGGACGCTATCCATAAATTACCTGAAGGATGGGGGAAGTATGTAGCTAGTAGTGATGGACATTACTTCGGATAAAGCACTTTTGATGTTTCTCTTGAAATTATTGTTTTCTTTGATTATAAAATCCGCCTTTATTAACTGGTACACCTAGTAGATTTTAGTACATTATAATAATGTTATCTACTCTCATAATGAAATCAGTATATAGGAGATAATCTAGAGCTTATAGACCAAGAGCCACTTGAACATTTATAACATCATTCACAGGCCATACAGAATGATCAACTTGAAAATTAGCTTGTTATATTTGGTCAAACATTTAATTAACTCACCCCTAATGCCTAGACAGGGCCAGACCAAATGATGTCATGGTCCAGTGCCAGACATTCCCCACTCCTGTTATGGACAGTCTCATTAAATGTTGAACATCATGATTGTCATACTTTCAGGTTTATTCTAATAAATAATGTAGGAAAAATAATTAGACAATTCTGATGTTTCAAAGATTATTTTTTAACTTGATCCTACACTTCACCCAAATTCAAAAACTATGTGGAGTATAATTTATAGTTATTACTCTCACTGCTTTGATATTGGATCATCAGTATAAATTGTACAAATATTTCCTCTCCAGTAGTATTGATGTATATCTTTTTATTACATGAAAGTTTGTAAACTGAGATTGCCATTGAAAGAAAAGATAACAGCAACCGTTCTCTGTTCAAAAAATATTTTAAGGTACCCTTAGGCTTCTAGCGTTCAGATAGCATAAAAACGTTTTATAGGTGGAACAGCTTATAACCCTGAATATGTAATATTTTTTTCATTAAAAAAATTTGGTATCTTATATTGCTTCTCTTGGCTCAAAGACCTAAATATGATAGTTTGGTTATTGTTATCTAGAACTTTTATATAAAACTAAATAGTATAACTAATTAAAATGCAGCATATTGAACTTAGTGCTTTATTTTTTGAATTGCTTATTGTGAACTTATTTTATTGAATTACTAAATTCTTCTTACAGGTGATGGGCCACAGTGTAGAGATTATGTCATAAGTCTTGGAGTTGTGAAACCTTTACTTTCCTTCATAAGTCCATCTATTCCTATAACATTCTTAAGAAATGTTACTTGGGTTATGGTCAACTTATGTCGGCACAAAGACCCACCACCCCCAATGGAAACCATTCAGGAGGTAAACAAGTGCTTTTTGTTTTTATTTTCAAACTGAGGTAAATATTATGTGTATGTTTTTATGTATCTCTATTTTTAAATTTGTGTATTTTTCTCTTTAGATTCTTCCAGCTCTTTGTGTTTTAATTCATCACACAGATGTAAATGTGAGTAAATGCTTCATATATTTTTATGTGTGTGTATGGATGCATGTGAGATAGGGAAGAAAATGTTACATTGGACATCATGTCAGTATATCCTATCAGATTTTTCCATTCAAGAGCTAAAGTACATAATTTGCCATTTTTATACTCTGTGTTTACTTACATCACTAAATTTAATTTTAGTAAAAAAAAATCAAGACTAATTTATTTGGCCTCAGAAATCAAGTATATACATATGTATATAGTGTTATAAAAGCTACATTGGAAGTTCTTCAATTTGTTCATGAGCTTTTTATGGAATCTCATTTTGATAGCTTGACCAATAAGAGAATACATACGCCCAATTTTTTAAAATATTTTTATTGATTTCAGAGAGGAAGGGAGAGGGAGAGAGAGATAGAAACATCAGTAATGAGAAAGAATCATTGATTGGCTGCCTCCTGCACACCCCCTACTGGGGATCGAGCCTACTGGGGATGGATACATACCCTTGATCAGAATCGAACCCAGGACCCTTCAGTCCTTAGGCCAATGCTCTAACCACTGAGCCAAAACAGCTAGGGCTGTTTTTGTTTTTTGAAAGATAAAAAGAGCCCTAGCCGGTTTGGCTCAAGGGATAGAGCATTGGCCTGCAGTCTAAAGGGTCCCGGTTTCTATTTCAATCAAGGGCATGTATCTCAGTTGCAGGCTCAATCCCTGGACTGCACATCAATGTTTTTTTTTTCTCTGTATCCCTCCCCCTCTTTTCCACTCTCTCTAAAAATCAAGGGAAAAAATATATTCAGGTGAAAATTAACAACAAAAAACAACAGAAACAAAAACTTGAAAGAGGGTCTAAATAAGTTGTTAATCATTAAACAAGTTTTTTTAAGTTTAAAAGAGAAATATTTGTGCCTTTTTGCATGACTTTGTTTTCCTCTATACATATACCAAATCGTGGAATTCTTTGCTCTTCAACTTTATTTTTACTCTGTTTCTCCACTTACAGTGATCTTGGAAATGGTTTCACTTGGTATAGAGATAACTTGAAATCCAGATAATAAGGAAAAAAATCAGTGCAGACTAGATTTTAAACATAACAGATATATCTTACTCATTCTTATTAACACAGATATTAAAGGAAAAAGCAACTCAGAAGTATGAATGAGGTGGAAAACTGTCCTAACTGCTGATAAAGCCAGGGTAGCTTTCATTGTGTTAGAAAAGCTAGCATTGTATGTAATGGGTCAAGGAAATCATGTGGATTAAACACATAGTAACATCAGGAAATTGTGTGATTCTTTAAAAACACAGGTATGCCCTAACCGGTTTGGCTCAGTGGATAGAGCATCGGCCTGCAGACTGAAGGGTCCCAAGTTGATTCCGATAAAGGGCATGTACCTTGGTTGTGAACACATCCCCAGTAGGGGCTGTGCAGGAGGCAGCTGATCGATGTTTCTCTCTCATCGATGTTTCTAACTCTCCCTCTCCCTTCCTCTCTGTAAAAAATAAAAATAAAATATAAATTTTTTTAATTTTTAAAAAATTGTTTAAAAAATAAATACACAGGTGTGATGTATACTACATCAATCAGTAACATAATGTACAAAACTCATTAGATGAATATGATCTTTTATATGTTTTTTTAGCTCCACATAGTTTAGGATTTTTTTTGGTTTTGCTCCTTCTAGCCAAAGTCTTTAATAAAATTATAAATGTTAATATTTTACTTTTGCAAGATTTCTAAGAAAGGACAATCTCAAAGTTTATACCTCTACCAAAAAAACAAGACATCTTGTTTGACCTTATTCCAAGATGTATTGTGGTCTTTATACTGTTTACATCAAGCAAGTGGAGATTGTAACTCAATTTTTTTTTTGCTTTTATATACCTTTAATTTCTCAAGCCAGTTTGCATTGTTCTTTTTTAGTACATGTTTATTAAGTAATAGCATTTACTAAAAATAAAATATTTTTATGTTAGCACTTAGCAACAAGTTCTTAAATCAGACTATCAAAGAAGTAAAAAATAAAATAAAAACAAAACAGCTTTCACAAACCATAAGTGAAACACTGAAGTTTCAAATTTAGTAAACTTATCATTGGAATGTTACATTTGTCTGTTATAAACAGTATATATGAGAGTGAATCTGATTTAAATTGTGAGTTTGATATGAGCTTAATGATTTGTTTACTATTGGACCTTTTATTATTTTTATTATTTTTTAAATATTGTATTGATTTTATTCAGAGAGGAAGAGAGAGGGATAGAGAGTTAGAAACATCGATGAGAGAGAATCATCGATCAGCTGCCTCTTGCACACCCCCTACTGGGGATGTGCCCACAACCAAGGTACATGCCCTTGATCAGAATCGAACCCGGGACCTTCAGTCCCCAAGCCAACGCTCTATCCACTGAGCCAAACCGGTCTCGGCTATTTTTTAAGTATATTTTTATTGATTTGAGAGGGAGAGAAAGATAGAAACATCAATCTATCAGCTGCCTCCTGCACACCTCCCACTGGAGATCAAGCTTGAAACCCAGGCATGTGCCCTGACAGGGAGTCGAACCAATGACCTCTTCGTGTATGGGTCAATGCTCAACCATTGAGCCACATTGGTTAGACACTATTGGGCCTTTTACAAAAATCAATCTAAATTTTATATATGGTCATGCACAGTTAACTTGAAATATTTGCTTATAAAAAAATTTTGGCCAAAACAGGTTTGGCTCAGTGTATAGAGCGACAGCCTGCAGACTGAAAGGTCCTGTATTCGATTCGCATGTACCTTGGTTGCGGGCACATCCTCAGTAGCAGGTGTGCAAGAGGCAACTGATTGATGTTTCTCTCTCATCGATGTTTCTAACTCTATCCCTCTCTCTTCCTCTCTATAAAATATCAATAAAATATTTAAAAAGAAAATTCGGCCCTAGCTTTCTGTCTTTCTCTTCCTCTCCCTACTATCTCTCTAAAATTTTGGCCGTTAATGAGAGCATCAGCCCTAGGAATTGAGAGTTTGATTCCAGTCAAGGGCAGGTACCTCAGTTGAGGCTTGATCTCTGGCACTGGTTGGAGCACATTTGGGAGGCAACCAATCAATGTGTCTCTTTCATAGCGTGTTTCTCTGTGTCCCTCTCCCCTCCCACACTCTCTAAAAACCAAGGGGGGGAGGGAGAATTCTTAGCTGAGGATTAATAAAACAAAAATTATGAAATTTTGGCATATATTGGTACTCCAGGGAAAAAAAAGTTACATTTGTAAGTTGAAGTTTCATTGTTTCACATATTTTAATACCACTTTATGTGTATGAATTTTCTCATTTGGTATCTTCTTTTTATATTAAAAATATCCATAGAACTTCCTTAAATTCCTGAAAGGAGCAATAGCAAAGTGATGTTTCCTCCTTCTAGGAGCTTCTTGGATGTTTTAAATGACATTGCTTTAGAATTTAAAAGGTTTCTAACTTTTCTGGCATATCTTTTGATAGAGTCCATATTTAGAAAGGCTTTGAAAGCAAAGTTAAGTAGTTTTGGTAGCTTGTATAAATTATGTTTTTTGGGTGTTTTTTTTGTTGTTGTTTTTTTATCTAGAATGTATGTTTGTTTTTTTAAACATTTACCACAATATCCTTGTATTTATCCCTCAGTCTGGGCATTTGGAAAGAGAATTTCTTTTTTTCTCCTAGTTTATGTGCTGTGTAGTGTGTTTTTATCCTAATGAATTAAGGTTAGATATTAAATTGTGATAAAGATTCTTAATTAACCTAAACATTATGAATATGGCTTAAAGATGTACATGCTTAATACAAACATTCATAAATGCTAATATTTAGTATAATAAATTCCAATGAGTTGAGGTGAGAGAAAAAGACATTTATAGAACAATTGTAAATTAGTCTGAATGGTTAAATTATTAAAATGAGAAGATACTTAAAGGCAATTTAAATTTTCATTTTCATTAGATACTGGTAGATACGGTCTGGGCCCTCTCTTACCTTACTGATGCTGGCAATGAACAGATACAGATGGTAATAGACTCTGGAATAGTCCCTCATTTGGTTCCTCTGCTTAGCCACCAGGAAGTGAAAGTTCAGGTGAGTTTGTTGTTGATAAAAGTATAAGTTTTTCTTACAACTAATTGCTTAAGCATGACATTCAGAAATGGACAATGAAATCTAATCAGGAGTCTAAAAATAAGCCCATACATATATGATCAATTGATTTTTTAACAAGGGTGTCAAGAAAATTCAATGAGTGAGTAAAATTTATTCAATAAATGATGGTGAAACTACTGGATATTCCATGTGAAAGAATGAAGTTGAACCCCTATTTTATACCATATTTTAAAAATAGCTTAAAATGGATCAAATACCTAAGTGTAAGAGCTAAAAGTATAAACTTTTTAGAAGAAAAAACAGACATAAATCGTTATGACTTTGGATTAGTCAGTAGCTTCTTAGATATGATACCACAAGCAACCAAGGGGGGAAAATTAAATTGGACTTTACCAGAATTTAAAACTTGCTCTTCTTAGGACATCATCAAGAAAGTGAAAAGACATCCTGCAGAATAGAAGAGAATTTTGCAATAATATATTTGAAAAGGGACTTGTATACAAAATATGTAAACAATTCCTTTAACTTAACAAAAGATAAGTAACCCAATTTAAAAATGGACAGAAGATTTAAATATAGTTTTTCCAAGAAGACATAGTTAGTCAATGAGCATATGACATGTTCATCATCATTAGTCATTAAGGAAATGCAAATCAAAGCTTGAAGGAAATACCACTTCATACCCACCAGGATGGCTATAATCAAAAAGTAACATGTATTGGCAAAGGAGAAAGTGGAATACTCATATACTGCTGGTGGAAATGTAAAATGACACAGTACCTAATGAGGTACTGGACATTAGTTTGACAGTACCTCAAAAAGTTAGACATAGAATTATTACAGGACCCAGCAATTTCACTCTCAGGTATATATGCAAGAGAACAGAAAAAACATTTTCACACAAAAACTTGTACAGATAAACAAATTGATCATGCCTCTAAGATGCCCATAGCCAATCAGGAGTGAGGATGCAAAAGTACTAAACAAAGATGGCGGGTTAATTTGCATACACAGGTGTGGAGAAAGACTGAAGACTAAGGTGGTTGGTTTCTCCACTGTGGCTGAAGCAAGGCCTGGGTCCCGGGTGCCAGAGGAAAACCAGTTGACAGCCAGGGGAAGGAAGGCCTATTGCACAATCTTCATGCAATGGGCCTCTAGTTTTTCATAATAGCCAAAATGTGAAAACAACCCAAATGTTTATCAACTAATGAATGATTAAATAAAATGAAGTCTTTCCATGCAGTACAATATTATTTGGCCACAAAAAAGAATGAAATACTCATACATGCCACAACATGAGTGCACCTTAAAAGCATTATGTTAAGTAAAAGAAACCAAATGTGAAAAGCCATCAACTATTTTATTGCAATGTAATGTCCAGAATAGGGAAATCCACAGGAATAAGCATAATGTGATTAGCAATGGGAATTACTGTTAAAGGGTCCAGATGAAAATGTTCTGAAATTATATATTGGTTATGGTTGCACAACTTTTAATATACTAAGAACAACAATTATTCACTTTGGAAGGGTGAATTATATCTCAATTTTTAATAAAGGAAACTGGATTATTTGTAGACAAAAATTAGCCAAAAAAAATCTTTACCAGAAAATAATCTGATACAACTAAAGAAAATAATGGACAATTCGAATTCATATGAATAGGAAAATCTTATATAATAAAAGCCTAATATGCTAAGTGTCCAGTTGACAAGCTGGCTCTTCAACCAATCAAAGCATAATATGCTAATGATATGCTAAGGCCACTAAACTGTTCGCCATGATGTGCACTGACCACCAGGGGGCAGACACTCCAACCAGTAGGTTAGCTTGCTGCTGGGGTCTGGCAGATCGGGACTGAGCAAGATGGGCCAGACATATCCTGGAGCCCTCTATGGCTGACCAACCTCCCACGTCTCTCCCTGACCCAGTTGTGCACTGGTGGGTCCCTCGGCCTGGCCTGCTCCTTCTCACAATCCAGGACCCCTCGAGGGATATCGGAGACCTGGTTTCAGCCCGAGGCCAGACCAAAGGACCCCAGTGGGGCACAAATTTGTGTACCAGGCCTCTAGTCTTATATATTAAGCAGACTCCTGCTTTCCTTCAGAAAAGGCACTTTGTTTTTGTTAACCTATTGAAACACTAAACATAAAATCTAAAGTACTACCTTATATTTTTATGGCCCAGATTTCTGTCTAAAATTATCCTTATTTTTTTTATTGACTGATTTCTACAATAAGCTTCATAAGAGGGAGGGTTGTATCTTATTCTCTCTTACGTTCCTAAATCAATGTCTGACACAGCTTTTTCTAAAAAGATAAATTTGAATGAATGAATGGATCTTTCATAATCTGCCAGACATACCTCTCTGATAAGAAAAAGTATTTCACATAGAACAACATCTCATTAAATCTTTTTATGTGTCAGACTGCTGCACTTCGAGCTGTGGGCAACATTGTTACTGGAACTGATGAGCAAACACAAGTAGTTTTGAACTGTGATGCTCTGTCACATTTCCCAGCACTCCTGACACATCCCAAAGAGAAAATTAATAAAGTAAGTATTTTTAAACACTATTATTTAATAAGTAATGTAAAATATTAGCAGTTTTTATTTGTAAACTTAGTGACTCAGAACTGTCTATAATATCAATGTCAACTGTCATTTAGACATCAAGAAAAGATATTTTATTCTTCTTAACATGAATTAGTATGTAATTTTCCATAAATAAACCAGTTATAAACAGTGCAAAATTGGCTCTCTTGGAAATGATGAAATAAAGATAATCGGGTGTTGAATGTTGTATGACTGGAAGTTTTTAATATATAAATTAATCTAGGTTTAATATTTTATAGGTAAATTAAGTTTAATATTTTATAGGTACTTAATAGAAAGTGTGTGTGTGCGCGTGTGTGATTGTGGAGGCTATGGAAAGGGGGCACTGACTGGTGATGCTGATATTGGAGTGCATCTGAGGCTGTTGTAGAAACATATGGGTTGTTGGTTACAACATTGCTGATGATTATGACCCAAAAACAGCTCACCTAAGTAGCCTAACACCCTAAAATCTTTAACAGGTTCATTAAATGTGTTCCTGTGATCTGATCCAAAAGAGCCTAATGCACACTAGCTAATACTAATAGTTTTTAGAATAAAACTTGTTTACTAATTTCTTAGAGAAAATGTTTTCTTTAGTAAATTGATAAGTCTGTTAAGTTTGCTAAATTATGGTCATATTCTACATGGGATGTTACGTAGATATTTTGCCTTGTTTCATGCTAACTGTGGTTTCAGTGTTCATGTATTATCTATAAAACTTGTAAAAACGTGTGAACATTTCAACCAAAGTGGCACCATTTTGGTATAAAGGGTAGCTTAAAAAGATCCTAAGGTAGACGAATAAAGCAATCAAACATCTGGTTCTGCTATAGCTCTTGAGAGACTTGGGGCAGAGAATTATTACAAATAAATACATTAAAGCAACCCACTATTTCATTTTTCATGTCTCAATTATGGATAATTGAGATTTATCTACTTGGGCTAGGACTCTTGATCAGAATAGGATAGAAAATAGAGCACTTTATCTGAAGGGGATGCTGAATCTGTTTATAGTAGTTTTAGCATTTGTATTTTTGTTACAGCCTTTTGACTCTTTAGTGTTTGTTCAGCCAATCTTCTTTTGGGTTTTAGTGTTTGGGAAATTGCTTTCAAGAATTCTCTAGAAGGGTTATTTAGTTCATTATGACTTTGATTGGGACCATTAGCATTTTATTGAAAGAAAATAGGAAAACGGGATAGAGGAGTTGAGATTCCTAAAATTTTTCTTATGGAACTCATTCTATCTAATAAAATAGTAATACGCAAGTTAACCATCACTCTGCTACACCCACAAACCATGCCCACCAACCAATCGGAGCGACTATGCAAATTAACCCCAACCAAGATGACTGCCACCACAGAAAGGCGGAAGGCGTGGGTTTCCCTGGCAATGGAAAAGCCATGCTTTCCACACACCCTGGCCAACCCAGGCCTCCACTCCAGACTACAAAGTTTCAATTGTAGAAAATAAATATATCCCAGGTATCAGGGTCTCCGCTTGGGTCGCCGGGGCGGGCATGGCTGGCCTGCAAACCACCACAGGCCCCTTGCACAGGCTGCCCCACAACCCGAGGGAACCCCCACCCTGATTGGAGACACCCATGCACCAGGCCTCTATCCTATCTAATAAAAGAGTAATATGCAGATTGACCACTCCAACACACAAGAGCAAGATAGCTGCCCTCATCTGGTCAAAGATTTTGTCCCCATGTGGACACAAGATGGCCACCACAAGATGGCCAGCAGGTGAGGGCAGTTGGGAGGGACCAGACCTGGAAGGGAGGGCAATTGGGGGCAGTCAAGCCTGCAGGGGAGGGCAGTTAGGGGTGATCAGGCTGGCAGAGGAGGGAAGTTGGGGCAAATAAACTGGCAGGGGAGCAGTTAGACATCAATCAGGCTGGCAGAGTAGTGGTTAGGGGGTGATCAGGCTGGCAGGCAGAAATGGTTAGGGGCAATCAGGAAGGCAGGCAGGTGAGTAGTTGGGAGCCAGCAGCTGGATTGTGAGATGGATAAATGGGTAGTGGGACATCCCTTGTGGGGTTCCAGATTGGAGAGGGTGTAGGCTGGGCTGAGGAGGGAAAAACCCCCCCATGCACATTTTCATGCACCAGGCCTCTAGTTCAATAATAAAATAATTTGGACATTATAGTGAAGATGTTTTTTCTTAGTTCAGATGCAGATTTTATTTTTTTAATGAGAAATACTGAAGGGGTCTTGTTTTACAGGAAGCAGTGTGGTTCCTCTCTAACATCACGGCAGGAAATCAGCAGCAGGTTCAGGCAGTAATTGACGCCAATCTTGTCCCAATGATAATACACCTTTTGGATAAGGTAAGAAAATCATCTCGTTGTATCTGAGTAAAAGTAAAGGGTTTAAATTTAACCTATGTGGCTCGATTGGAGTGTCACTGTGCACGAAGGAACATGGGTTCCACCCTGGTAGAAGCACGTACCCAGGTTGCATGTTTAATACCCAGTTGGGATGCATGTTGGAGGCAGCTGATTGATGCTTCTTTCGCTCTGTCTCTCTCTCCTCTCTCTCTCTCTCTCTCTCTCCTGTCTCTGTGTCTGTCTCTTTTCCTCCTCTCTAAAATCAATTTTTTTTAAACTAAAAAAAAAATTTTTTAACTACTAAATTGTGAATGTATACTTTTCTGTTTAAGTAGAACCTATACAGTTTGCATGAATACTATCACAGTGGTATTAATATTAAAACTTTTAAACCCAGCAGTTTTTATATACAAGAAACATTTCTTTTTAGGAACCCTTCCTCTTTCTGTATCATTCTTTTATTAAAATTACTGTTATCCTTGGATTTGTTAAACATTCACATTATTACTACTGATTATACATGCTTAATGTATTGTGCTAAGCACTTTAAATATATTACCTCATTTAATACCATTGCTATATGAGGTTAAGAATTATCCCATTTGACAGATGAAGAAACTATAGTATAGAGTCTATACTATAGACAAATAAATTGCCCAAGATCTAACTTCAAGTAAGTGTCTGATTTAATCATATGTTTGTATCATACTTCATGTTTACATTAACATTTGAGAAAGAGACTGTTTAAAATGTCATAATCAGCCCTAAGCAGTTTGACTCAGTGGATAGTGCATTGGTCTGCAGACTCAAGGTTTGAGCATGTACCTTGGTTGCAGGCACATCCCCGGTAGAGGTGTGCAGGAGGCGGCTGGTTAATGTTTCTCTCTCATCAGTGTTTCTAATTTTCTATCCCTCTCTCTTCCTCTCTGTGAAAAATCAATAAAATATATTAAAAATATATATATATTTTTTAATTAAAATAACTTGTCACAATCACAGTATGAGGGGTTTTTTTTCTGAACACTGGTCTATAAAGAGACAATATTTCTATCTTATTTTTCTCCATGTTTTCTACAAACTGATGGTAGAAGCTATATCTTATAAACTGGTAGCTTAAGCTTAGTTTGTAAGACAAGAATCCTTATGCACTGCTCTGCTTTCTAATGATTCACATCAGGAGAGACATTATGTCCTGCTTCTTAGCCTATGCCAGCTGATTATTATTAAGTTAGACATCAATCTTTCACATAATGGCATTTATTGATGATCATTGCCTAGATCCTTATTTTACTAAGAAATGCAAAATGCTTCTAATTTTGTCATTCTTTATGTATTTGCTATTATTCTTCAATAAAGAACTTTTCCTTATCAACTGTAGTTTTACAGGATAACATTTTACATAGACAAGGTCAGGTAAATGCTTGATTCTTACTTATTATCACTCAATTTTTAGAATAACTTCGTTTCCTAACAACCTCAAAAGTAGACTAAGGTGGAATTTTTAATATTAAGAAATTATGGATATTTTTGTCCATTATAGTTTTTGAGAGCTGCTTTTTGAGTATGACATGATTCCCAGCCTTATCCTGTATATTTTCTGGCCTAGACCTTGAAAGAACTATTTCTGCAGGGTGTACTGGTTCCTTTTTGTAGAGAATTGTATTTCAGGATCATAGTTCAGATACTAAGGATGATCATTGCTACTGTACAAGGTTGTCTTTGTTTCTAGCCTGAGTGAACAAAAGAGGTGATAATGTATTTTTTAGAAAGTGAAAAATATATTGTAATGTTGTGAACATGAAAATTTATAAAAAAATCATGAATGAAAGGAAGCTATTGGATATTGATGTCTATTTAAGATAATAGTGGTTTATTTTCACTTCTTTGTTTTTATATTCTCTTTTTATTCTGGAAATCTTCCTGAAAAGATTGAGGATATATGAGATAAAATCTATCAAAATAAAACTGAATTTACCATTTTTAAAATATTGGTTTTGGTTATATAAAGCATTTTTGTGGTTTCCAAATAAAAAATACATACCTTGTTTTAGTTAAAAGGGCTAACTTACATTTCTGACCATTTCTCCTTATTCTCTCCCTTCCTTTACAGATAATAGTTTTTGTTAGTTTTTGGTTTATACCTTCATTGTTTCTTCTTTAAATATAAGCAAATGTCTATGTACATGCTCATTTTCCTACCTGCCTGAGGTCTTAATCCAGCATCTAGAAGCTTTCAGGAATCTGGAGAAGGCACTATGTAGAAATTAATAAGCTTTCAGGAATCTGGAGAAGGCATTTTGGGAAGCCAGAGAAGACTTTTATTTTTTTTTAATAAATATATTTTATTGATTTTATACAGAGAGGGAGAGAGAGATACAGAGTTAGAAACATCGATGAGAGAGAGTCATCGATCAGCTGCCTCTTGCACACCCCCTACTGGGGATATGCCCGCAACCAAGGTACATGCCCTCGACCAGAATCGAACCCGGGACCCTTCAGTCCCCAAGCCAACGCTCTATCCACTGAGCCAAACCGGTCTCGGCCAGAGAAGACTTTTAGTTAAAGGAACCAAGTTCTCTTGTCTCTCTGGACCCCTTGCTTTTTTTTTTTTTTTTTTCTAATATATTTTATTGATTTTTTTTACAGAGAGGAAGGGAGAGGGATAGAGAGAAACATCGATGAGAGAGAATCATCGATCAGCTGTCTCTTGCACACCCCCTACTGGGCCTACTGGGGATGTGCCTGCAACCAAGGTACATGCCCTTGACTGGAATTGAACCCGGGACCTTTCAGTCCGCAGGCCGACACTCTATCCACTGAGCCAAACCAGTTTCGACTGGACCCCTTGCTTTTTATTAACACAAATTGTCCTAAGGCATGGTAGATATACACATCAAAGGCCAAGGTTTAGTATACTGAATCCATTGCCAGATTGGCCAGTAGGAGGCAATAACATGTAGACTGAAATGCCCTCAGCTGTCTAGCAGCAAGCAATCATTTATGCATCCTTTTCAGGTTTGGGGAAATGCCCTCAACCATTCCTGCTGACATGATGGAATTAGCTGCAGGCACCTACCATTCCTTTTTTTCTTCTTGCATTGCTTTTTTTTAAAAATACTTCTTTTGAAATATTATCCTGGAGATCACTCCCATTACATGAGCTTTCTTATTCTTTTTTCTTATTTTTGTTGAGGTTACATAGTACTCCAGTGTGTATATGGATGTGCTATAATGTATTCAACTTATTTTATTTTTGAAATGTTTTGCTATTAAATAGTATTTTAAAAAGTAATTTGTAATTTTTGTGTGGGGGGGGGGTTTCACTCCTACTAACAGATATTTGGAGTTAAACAATCTAATAAATAAGGGTAGATATCCCACTGCAGTTTAAATTTTCATTCCTCTTATTGATATGTATTTTTCTTAATACATCATAAGCATTCTTCCAGGTTGCTAGCCTTCTTAAAATTTAATAACTGGTTATTATTTCATTAAGTAGATTTACTATAATTAATTATTCCCCTGTTGAAAATTTGAGTTGTTTTTACTTTTTTTAAAATATATTTTTATTGATTTCCCAGAGATAGATAGAAACATCAATGATGAGAGAATCATTGATCGGCTGCCTTCTGCATGCCCCCTACAGGGGATCCAGCCCACAATCCAGGCATCTGCCCTTGACTGGAATCAAACCCAAGACCCTTTAGTCCACAGGCCAACACTCTAGCCACTGAACCAAACTGGCTAGAGCTACTTTTACTTTTTTAACTGTTATGTGCTGCTAAAACAATATAGAGATAGATACATAATATTACCTTATTTTAAATTATTTTATTGGTAAATTATTAAAAGTGAGATTACTAACTCACATGACAAATAATTTTTAACTATTTTTCAATTTATATTTGAAAGGAAATATATGATAGTAATGTTTTCACCACAATCTTATAATGGTGGGCATTATAATTTCTAAAACTTACATGTTTAAAAGGATATTTTCTTTTAATTTGACATTAATTAAATTGTACATTTTTCTGAGGTTTTTTCTTTTTTTTACCATTTTATCCTTGACCTTATTTAATCTGATATTATTGAACAATAATACATATCAAGTCATAACAAGTCTCCATATATTTAGGGTAAATTGGGTTCTAAGGCATATTTTAACAAGTAAAAATTATATGCCTGTAGAAAGGCCAGCAGGAAACCTGGGGAAATATTTAGCAGTTAAAAAATCAGATAAATCTGTTAAATTCGCTGAATTATAGTCATATTTTACATAGTCATATTCTATATTGTGGAAGGGTTGTGGAAGGGTTGAGCAAAAAAGAGAAAAAAACTCATGAACACGAATAACAGTGTGGTGATGGGGATGTGTATAAGAGGAAGGTATGGGGGGATAAATGGTGGTGGACGGAGACTTGACTTGAAGCAGTGAACACAATACAGTGAAAACATGATAGTTGTGGAATTGTGCATTTGAAACCTGTATAATTTATTAACTAGTATTACCCCAATAAATCCATAAAAAGATGAGGAAAAGAAAGCTCATTTCAGAAAACATTTTTTCCATTTTCCATTTTACTTTGTATTTCATTTTGTATCCTTTGCTTTGCTTTTGCAGGGGGATTTTGGCACTCAGAAAGAAGCTGCTTGGGCCATAAGTAACTTAACAATTAGTGGAAGGAAAGATCAGGTAAGTTCAGCTTTTATTTATTTCTTAGTGGATAGGCTGTCTGCCTGCAGACGGAAGAGTCCCAGGTTCAGTTCTGGTCAAGGGCATGTGCATGAGGCAACTTTGGTTGCAGGCTCCTTACAGGCCCAGGTCAGGGTTCGTGGATGAGGCAACCTATCAGTGTGTTTTTCTCACACCGATGTTTTGTCTCGCCCTCTCCCTTCCACTCTAAGGGTGAGGATTAACAAAAAAAATCATAATTTAACATAGAAGAAAGATGACATTCTGTGATAGGGGTGGGTGGTTTGTGTGTGTATGTATTACCTTGGCTTCCTTTAGTTATAATTCTTAGATGAGAAGTGTTCTCTTTCCAACTTTCTGGCCTACAATTTCTACTTCTTTCTAATTTACAGTAAGATCAGAGCACTTGTAGTCAGGGTTGGGTTGGTGTTTTTTGTTTGTTGTGGAGTTTTTTTGGCTCTTTAACAGTATTAAGCCAGATGACTTCAGGTGAATTGGGCAGAATGAAACTGCCTCACAGATTCTAACAAATGAATAACAAAAATTTATAGCATCTAAATACTCAACCAAAAAAGGCTGGAAGTACAAACTAGAGTTAGGAATGTGAGGTCCTTAGGGCATAAAATTTAGAAAGGCATGCACAGTGATTGTGCAGGTGTCACAGCTAAACATTGTGCCACATAACAAAAGAAAATGGGTTTTAAAGGTCCCAGATATGTATCATAGATCATTTTTTAAATTTTTTAAAAATATATTTTATTAATATTTCACGGAGAGGAGGAAGGGAGAGAGATAGAGAGCTAGAAACGTCGATGAGAGAGAAACATCAAACAGCTGCCTCTTGCACACCCCCTACCGGGAATGTGCCTGCAACCAATGTACATGCCCTTGACCGGAATCGAACCTGGGACCTTTCAGTCCGAGACCGACGCTCTACCACTAAACCAAACCAGCTTTGGCTCATAGACCATTTTAAAGGGTGAATTTGGATCTGATTAGCAATAAACTGATAATTACCACAAATAAGCTATAGATTGATGGTGAGCAGGTAATCCACTTAAATAGGAATGCAGAGCAGAAGATAAAAATTCATATAGCCTAGCTGGTGTGTCTCAGTGGTTGAACTTCGACCTATGAATCAGGAGGTCACTGTTCTGTCCCTGGTCAGGGCACATACCTGAGTTGTGGGCTTGTCCCCAGTAGGTGGTGTGCAAGAGGCTAGTTCTCTCTCCTCCCTTCCTCTCTGAAATTAATATAAAAAAATTTTAATTTAAAAATGCATGTAAATAATAGCTAACTATATAGAAATGATAGGAAAGTATTATGAAAATATTACAGAACCAATAGAATAGTGAATAGAAGGTGGCCACGGATATGAGGATGCCAAATCCAACAGAAAAGAGCCAAATGGATGCTCTCACGTTGAACAGTTGAAGTTCTTTAAAAAATATTCAGACTCTTAACTAATATTTTAATTTCTTAATCTTAAAGGGGAAAGGATCTTTGAAAAAAGTGTTTCTTATGGCAAAGAAATGTTTCACTTTATTTTTAAGAAAAACATACTTACTATATAAAAAAGAAAAGGAAATTTGATTAATGTAGTCTAACAATATTTGAGAGATGAGGTCATACTCAAAATTTTACTTCAATGAGATAATGTACACAAATAAAGTTCAGTTATGCTTAATATATCATGGTGTCTTTATTCTTCAGGTGGCCTGCCTAATTCAACAAAATGTTATTCCACCTTTTTGCAACTTGCTGACTGTAAAAGATGCACAAGTTGTGCAAGTAGTGCTTGATGGACTAAGTAATATATTAAAAATGGCTGAAGATGAGGCAGAAACCATAGCCAATCTTATAGAAGAATGTGGAGGTAAGTTTACCAAAAGCTATTATTACGCATTTTAATATTCTTTTTGTAACTGTTTATTTTCTGACTAGTAAAGTACTCCTGTATTTTTCTGTCTTAGATAATTAAGTAACAGAATAAAATAAATACGTTAAATGTGTTCTATATGTACAGTCCTGCTCAGCTTCTTGCATATTTTTAGGTAACTGAATTGCTGCCATATATCGAACAGGCATTGTACTAAGGTACTTGGAAGATAGTGGTAAACAAGACACAGTTTTTGTCCTCAAGGCATGTAGTCTAGTATGGAGATAAATATAAACTGATTTAATGTGCTAATTACCCTAATAGAAATGTACAGCAAAATGAAATACCTAATTCATCCTGGAAGAAGCAGGAAGTCACACCTGAGCTGGATTTTGAGAGATGAATAAGGATTAATAAAGTAAAAAGGGATGAAAGGTGTTCCAGGCAGAAATAACACCATGAGCAAAGTCTGAGGTGAGAAATAGCATTCAGCAAATTATAAGTAGTTCAGTGTTGCTGAATCACAAAGTATGGGGTAGAAACTGCCAAAAGATGAAGCTGAGACCTGGCAAATAAGCAGGTTCCTATAATTTCATAAGCTTTTGTAGCACACTAGATAACTTTATTCTAATTCTATAGGGCAGTAGTTCCCATATCTGGCTGTGTATCAGCCATCTGGAATGTAAACAGCCCATCTTAGCTTTCAACTCTTAGAATTAACAAGTACACAGAACATGGAAGATTCAAATGTGGCTGTGGAACAAAGTGTAAATGTTAACCTGGATAGGCATAAAAGTAAAGGTATTTCTGACAGAAGTTGAGAAGTAAATGAAGAAAGGTGATAACAGGAGAACTACTTCAACTTAGTAAAGGAATGCAGAGGCTTGAAAATTAACTAAGATTAGTATTTTTAAAGTTACTAAAGTGACAAATAGAATAACAAAGAAAATAATGCATAACTATCAAGTTAGGAACAGAAGATGGGAAATAGTGTTAGGGAACTAATTGGAAAGTAAATACCAGAAAAATTTAAAATGGGCATAGTAGGAAAGTATTAGTAATTAGGCCATAACAAATTATGGCCCAATAAGTGAATATAGAGACAAAGGGGAGTTTGCAAAATTTAAGAAATGGAGGCTTTTAAGATTTGATTGTAGAATATCGAGGAAAAGAGAACTTAGGCTTTCTCTTAGATTTCAAACTGTTATCACCAAGTAATACATTAGAACAGTTTAAATGAATAAAGGCAAATAACAAGTTGTGTTTTGGACAGTTCAAGTTTTAGATAACTGTGAAATGTCCTGGTGGAATTATATCACGACGGCATTTAAATTTTATGAATGTAAAGCTCAATAGATTTACAGATCCTCAGCCTATATTAGTAGCCAAATTTTTTAATGGGAGGGCCTCCTAAGGAAAATGTAGAATGGAAAATGAGCCCAAAACAGCTATTACCATTTAAGAAAATAGAGGAAGAACAGTTGTGAAAGGGCAATTTCATTATTTTTCAGAGACCTTGAAATTACTACACCTAAAAAGCAAAACAAGACCTAATTTTCATAGCAATAGGTTAAATTTATGTATTTTTAATGTTTCTACCTATGATTTAGCAAACTCACTAATGTTTACAGGGCAAAGTTCACTTTTCCCTGAAATACTATGGTTGATCTTGTTATAATTAACAGGTGTCTTAACATTTATTTATTAATCTCCAGTATAGTAAATTTTTTTCATATATACCCACTAGAAAAACTTGGCAGATGCTAGAAAGCAATTTAACAAAACAAAAGCAATTTTACATGTTATTGCTCCATATAAACATTATGATTATATAATATTCTTCTGAATAGGTAGATGTCCCATTGCTTAATCATTTATATGCATTTATACACTCTGCTTCTTAATTTTTTAAGATAAATATGCAATATCTTTGTGCATAAAATCTTTTTATTTTTTAAGATTCACCCTTAATGAGGACAGTGGGGATGGGATGGTGGGACAGGGGAGGTAAGGGCAAAGGGTAGGGTGGAGACCAGGTGGAGGGGTGCTATTGCGGGGCGGGGGAGAGAAACAATTGTAATAATCTGAACAATAAAGATTTATTAAGATTTAAAAAAAAAAGATTCACCCTTAGAATAGGTTCCCAAAAATTGTAGATTTGTATTTCAATAATTGGATATGTGGTCCAAGATTATTATAACTTTGTCAGTACTTTTTAGGTATTACTCTATTTTACTTTATAAAATCTTTTCCAGGACTGGAGAAAATTGAACAACTGCAAAATCATGAAAATGAAGACATCTACAAATTGGCCTATGAGATCATTGATCAGTTCTTCTCTACAGATGATGTATTTAATAACTTTATAGTTTTCTTAATATATGTCTACATGAAATAATATATTAAGCTAGGACATGCATGTATATATTTAAGGGGAATGGAATTAAAATAGGTATATGGCAGTAATATCACTTGTTTCAAAAACAATTATTTCAATATTTCAAAGTCCTTCGGGGCATTAAAAAATAGTATTAGCTCTGATAGCAGAAAAGATAGGCATAGTTTCTTGACACTGGACAAGTCAAGCTTTATCTTTCACTTGATGTCTTTATAGTTCTCATATTTTATATTTTAGTAACATAACATGTTTATAAAACAAAACACTGATAGATGTCCTGTAATAAATTCTTCATGACAATATTTAGTTAATCCACTTTTGACTATATTCTCACTGTTACTTTTAGTTGATGTCCCAAAACAAATATGAAGTTAGGTAGATAAGTTGAAAACAATCATCAAAAAAGATGTTTCCATATATTGTGAAGTATAATATACAAAAGTATCTTATGTGGTAATGGAAATTAAATTATGAAATTAATTTTTAGTACTGCCTCTGGAAAAGTAAGCCTAAATTAAAAGCAGTTGTTTCTTAGAAAATTATAATGGTTAGATACCACCACCAGTGAATTTCTTGAATGATTTTCTCAACATTTTAATGAATTAGTCTTATACACAAACTTTTCCACATTATCAAGAGTAGAATATTATTAAACTTTTTTTTAAATCATCATCCAAGGATATTTTTTATTGACCTAAGAGAGAAACATCAATCAATCAGTTTTCTCCTGTATGTATCCAGACCAGGGATCAAACCCATAATTGAGTATGTGACCTGATTGGGAATCATACTGCTATCTTTTGGTGATGGTGCTCCAACCAGCCTAACCACCCGACCAGAGCTAAACATTTTGTTAAGCATGTATTACTCAAACACAACCCAACAAAAGACAAAACCAGTCATGCACCACATAACATTTTAGTCAAGAATGGATCATGCAAATAATGGTGTTCCATAATAGAATGATGGAGCTGAAAACTTCTTATTGCCTAGTGATGTCATGGACATCACAGTGTCAAACCCCAGTGATTACTCATGTGAACCTGGTGAAGCAAAAACCTACTCTGCTGCCAGTCATACAGAAGTTTAGCATTACAGTGACAGTGATGGACAATATGTTCCATCTAGTTGTGTAAGTACACTCTAACAGTGCATTTCTCAGAATGTATCCCCATCGTTAATGCAGCTCATGACTACCAGAAAAGAAAGTTGCGGATTCTACTTAATGGTGATTAAACCATTTAGATATAAACTCCTTTAGATGATCAAGTCCTATTTAGAATATAATACCAGTTTAAATAAATCAGAAATAAAATCCAGAAAAAGCATATTCTTTTAAGGGTAGCTTTTATCACATGTCTTTAAAGTTGGATTCTTGGAAGTCCTAATTTGCAAGGCCTTATGATTTTTAATACCTCAACATGCAGTTTTTGTTATTCTCTTACATTGTGAAAATAATTCAGGGGGTGTGTACATTTATAGGAACTTTCACTATAGCCTCATAATTTTATAGAAGATGTGGTATTTTATAAAAGAACCTTTAGATATAAAGCATATAGAACATTATTTATTAGTTAATAGCTATTATTTTACTATTTTAAGCCCAAATGTCATTTCTCTCCCAGCAGGAGTGGCTCAGTTTATTGGAGCTTTATCCTGTGCATCAAAAGGTTGACAGCTTGATTCCTGGTCAGGGCACACACCTGGGTTACAGTTTTGATCCCCAGAGTGCATACAGAAAGCAACTGATCAATATTGCTCATCTTTCCCCCTCTCTTTTTTCTCTTCTTCTCTCCCTCTCCCTTCCACTCTCTAAGCATGTCTTCAGGTGAGGATTAAAAACAAAAGAATCAAAAATTAATCAAAGACTACACTTATTTTAAAATTGATGGCATTCTTTAATGTCATCTTTTATCTATTTGCCCAGGTACAAGGAAAATTATAATGAGTATCTTCTCAGTTTAAAATGTATGACCATCTCCAACTTATTACTTATATTTCATTCTTTTAGAAGATATTTATCTTGCATATTCACAAGTTTCTTCTCATTTTGGCATCCTTAAGAAAAAGTCTTCACAAAATGTTTCAGCTTTCTAAAAGGGATAGTAGGATAATGTTGACACATTATCTCTCTCATACTTTTTAAAGGGAAATGGGAATATTACTATAATGCTATTTATATATACTTTTAAACTAATCATCTTTTTTTCTTTTTTCTCTTAGATTGATGAAGATGCTAGCCTTGTTCCAGAGGCAATACAAGGTGGAACATTTGGTTTCAATTCATCTGCCAATGTACCAACAGAAGGGTTCCAGTTTTAGAAAGATGCTATGGAAGTTAGGTACAATGCAGCACTGAGATAGATATATATATATACACATATATATAAAAAGGTTTGATCCATCAAGCTTGGCTCATGGGATCTACTGCTGCATTAAATCGGGAAAGAAAATGTGAAGATTTCATTTGGAATCACAGAAAATGCCCAAATGAGGTCAAGATGGCGAGTGGGTGCGAGTGAGAATGAGTGGCAAAGTGTAATGAAAACTTTACATGAATGCTTATTTAGGTTGATCAAAGTGAAAAGGGCTACAGGTCACAGATCTTCAGTGCCTGAGAAGAAACATTCAATGTTGACTTACTCTACATCAATTGAGAGAGAGTGCAGTATTGTCATCTTCAAGCCTTGTAAGCATAAAAGAGAATAGGATGCCCATATAAGTCAAAGGAAAATGAGCCCAGGCCTTGCTATGAAGCTGTGTGTGAATGGACAGTGTTGAGTGAATGTCTGGCTCTGAGAGAGCCAGGTCCATCTTTCAAATCTAGGGCTCTTCACTCATGAAGCAGACTCCTAGTCCTGGAGTGACTGTGTATGAGAGTGTGGTTGTGCTGGATGTGAACGCATGCAAGCTTGATTCGCCTTCAGGGGGCTGATAACAAACCTAGTAAATCATCAAAATGAGATCATAAGTGTTATGTACACTGGACATGAAAACAAAGACCGGTTTAGCAGCAGACATTGGTTTACTCTGCAGCCTGTGTTTTCTATTTCCCCTTTTTCCCCACCACCTCTTTTTTTTTTTTTTTCTTTTTTTTTCTTTTTTCTTTTTTCTTTTTCTTTTTTTTTTTTTTCTTTTTTTTTTTTTAGGTCTTTTTTTCTTTTGGGGGATTTTTTTTTTCTTTGTGGGTTTTTGTTTTTTTGTTTTGTTTTTTTAATTTACCTAGTATGGCTTTTTAGTTGCTTCTCAAGTCAGAAAACTTTTCAGGAAGGTTTCCCTGTGCATTTGCACCAGATGAATGTTTGATGCTATGAAAAGCTTTCCATATCATCAGAACTAATTTGTGTAGATTTTTGCATGGAAAAAAAATCAAATTTCCCTCAAAATAGACTGTGTTGCAGTACACATGTTGCCATAATAGTATAAACAGTAAAATGCGCTTTAAAAAGCCATCCTTTTCATTTTCAGAAATAACATAAAGATCTTTGCATGAGGTAAATCTACAACATAGTTTATTTTTAGATTTTGTTAAGTCCTGTAAAGAAGAAAAAAGTTTCAGTTGTAGTAGAATACCGTGCTGTGTTTAAATGTTATTTGTTTTCAAACTTTGTTTTCTATGAAAATGATATGGAAACTTCTAAAATCGAATTTGGTGCATATGTACTGCTGAATAAAGACTGATGAAGAGGTTTGAATAGATGTACAAATCAAGTAATGGTTTGAACACCTTTAATAATATGCCTAATCTGTTCAATTGTTTTAGAATCTTTTTATCTTAGATGTAGGCAGCCATGAACAATCTATTTTGAGCCACTTTAGGGAGAAAACTTTGTATTTTTAAACTTGCATAAGAGTTATGCAAGTGGTTTTTATAAATTGGAATAATACCTCAGTTTTGAGGTTATGCACACTAAATTAAATGTGACATAAATTAATTTGTACAAAAAGAACTCTTTATAAGGTGGCTCATTGTAGGAAATCCTGTGCCTTCCCCTTTGAGCACAAGTGTTGCATGAACAACAGTTTGCTATAAGAAACATACCAGATTAGCCACCATTAGCATCTATATCTACTTTGTGTTTAAGAATCAACTGGTAAATCTGAAACACTGTAGAATGGATAAAAATTATTTTGTGATCATAACTCTTTGTTGAACTAGAGTATTTTTGCAGCATTCCTTGTCATCAGAAACATGGTTAAAGTTTAAAACTAGAAGCAGCAGAAAACTAGCTTGTAAAATTTATCCAAGTAGAGTGCAGGCTAGGCTGTGTTGGGGAAATAAACATTAAACTTAAGCAATGTTTTACATGGGGTGTGTTGTTTGCTGTGTGGATTTTTTTATACACATTAATGTAAAGTTAGAGTATAACTCAATGTATTGTATTAGCTTGTCTTTCTAAATAAGCTTTTGACCTATAACCAACATATCTCTTCAGTTCTATAATTTCAATATAAACATTAATATTTTAATCCACTGAATTTGTTCAGATGACACCATCTGTAATTCTGCTTTCTCCCTATCCAAATCAAAGTTTTGACCTTTCTTTATTCTTCCAGCAAAATCGACTGAGAGACTTAAGCTATATTTTAACTATTACTATAACTTCAACATATAGTTTTGTGTGTTTTTTTAATATATTTTATTGATTTTTTTACAGAGAGGAAGAGAGAGCGAGAAACATCAACCAGCTGCCTCCTCCACACACCCCACCAGGGATGTACCCGCAATCAATGTACATGCCCTTGACCGGAATCGAACCTAGGACCCCTCAGTCCACAGACCGATGCTCTATTTACTGAGCCAAACCAGTTTCAGCTCAACATACAGTTCTTAATGATAGATTGTGTATAAAGCATTGTTTTTATAGAAGGTTCAAGTTATCACAAAGTGAATATAACAATACATGATTCGTGTTTCTTAGCAATAAAAAATTTTGTTCAAAGTAAGCTGATGAGGTTAAAGTAGGCCAAATGATTTTATAGAATAGTTATCCTTTATATATACACTAGAGGCCTGATGCATGAAATTCATACAAGAGTAGGCCTTCCTTCCCCCAGCTGCCAGCACTGGCTTTGCCTGGAAGGTTGTCCAAGCTAATTAGCATATGTTATAGCTACTAATTGTGGGTGATATTAATATCTCTGAGTATAAGGGCTACCTGATGGTCTAAATATTTCCTTTCTACCCAGTGTCCATGGTCTCATACAAGACCTTGATATTCTAATACAAGAGTGGGGAACCATTTAGATATTTGTAACATCATTTGGGGGCCATACAAAGCCTGATATATTTGGTCAATTTTTTTATTAACTCACCCCTAATGCCTTGGTAGGGCCAGACCAAATGATTTCAAGGGCCTTCTATGTCCCTGGGGCTGGTTGTTCCCCACCCCTGTTCTAGTAGAATTCTAGGAAGGATTTCACCATGTGTGAAGTTTGTTTCAGCACAGTTAACAATTCACCACAGCCAGTGATGTAGGAAACATAACATAGAACATTATTTGTGATGAGAGGGGGAATGAAATAAGCCTTTAGTAAGCTAATTGTTCTTGGCTTCTTGTGTTTAAACTGCCTTTTTGGAGTATTGAACTCTTTCAAGTGCTATAAAAATATGAATGTCAGTATGAGAGTAGCTGTGGTCTAAATTTATTTTTTGAAGTTTTTTCCCCTTTCTATCATGTGTCATGATGGATTTAGTACTTTCCACATTACTCTGAACCAAAACCAGAGTATTCCTATAATTGAAGCTCATGACTATTAAAAATATATCTGGATGATTTTTAATACTTAATTTCAGTTTACTTTAGTAACTGAAATTTACAGATTTATTTTTTGTAAAGTGATTGGGTTTATTATACTGGAGGCCTGTTGCAGGAACATTCCTGCTGCAGTCTCTGCTGCCCTGCCTGTTTCCCTCCCTTCTCCCCTGCTCCAATTGCTTGCTTCTCTGTAGCTTCACTCCCTTCTGCAGCGCCTGGCTTCTTCCTATGCTGTCTCAGTCTTCCCTTTTTTTTTTTTTTTTTTTTTTGGGGGGGGGCCTGGGTATGCAAATTAACCGCCATATTGGTTTGGTTAATTTGCATATCCTGATTGGCTTGTGGGTATAGTGAAGATAGTCAATTTGCATGTTTCTCTTTTATTAGGATAATTTAATTTCTAGAACCCTTTTTGGGTTTTCCATGGCCTCAGTTTCCTTAGGAAGAGAGAAATTAAACTAAGCTTTGGCTTTAAGAAATTATATATTTCCTGTTGCTGTATAACAGATTACCATGAACTTAGAATTTAAGACAACATATTTCAGTTTCTGTGGGTCAAGAGTCCAGGTACAGCTTAAGCTCAGGCTCTCACAGGCTACAGTCAAGGTTTCATCTGAAGCTGGTCCGTTTCCATACTTCTGTTGCAGAATCCATTTCCTTGCTGCTCTAGAACTCATGGCTGTTTGCTTCAAGGCCTGCAGGAGAAATCTGATTTCGGAGAAAGTCCTAAGCCTGCTTTTAAAGGATTCATATGATTAAGTCAGGCCTACCTGTTATCATGTTAGTTCCTTGATTACACTGCAAAATCACTTCCCTGTGCTGTAGCTTTATCACAGGGTGATATACATTACATTCACAGATCCTGCTCACACTTGAGGGAAGGGGATTAAAAAGATCATGTACATCAGGAAATCTTGGGAATCATCTTAAGAGTTCTGCCAACCACAGGTAATAACTAGATCTGGAGCAATTTTTAAAGTGATTATAAGTTGCCTTCAGATGAAGGTCACCTGTGTGAATCATGAAAATTGGATCAGCTCCTATCCCTTTCGCCTCCATGCATATATGTATAGTTTTAGAGAATCTATTGGGGTCCATGGATTTCTGAGCATGAATTAATGATCTGTACTAACCTCCCCTTCAAATGAGAGGTGATTAATTACTAAGGGTCAGATAAGACCCAGGTCTCAACTCCCATACCATTGGAAGCTGTGCTTCCAGTTATTGGTCTAAAATACACTTAAATTTGTGAACCAAGGCAAACAATGTTTACACAGCCTTTTCAACACATAGATAAGTCTTTATATCAAATCAAGGTGCATATTGATATTGTAATCTAAATCCCTAAGTTAAATGAAGATGAATGGCATTCCCATGTTATCAGAAGCAACAGAGGACTGTATTGCCAATTAGCAAGTCAATAATGTACAGGGAGGGTAAATTAAATATTTTCCCCTAGCAGTTCCGTTAATTTTTAATATGCTTTTAAATTCGGGCCCTTTAGGTGACAAATTTAGGTCAGGATATCCATTTCAAGCTCTGCTGTTTATAAAATGGATTTGACAG